TGTACTTTTCAAGAACAAGATACATAAGTTTAAAGAAACATTTTACAAGAGAGCGCTTCAAAAGCTTTATATCTCTTACAATTCACTCCTTCATTCTCAACTTTATCCTCATTTTCTTTGTTTATTTCAAATCAAGGTTACAAATAGAATCTCACAAATCAAAAAATTTAAAAATTTTGAAACAAGTTTTTTAAAAATTACTTCTAATTATTTAAAATGTGAGGAGTCCATAACTTTAATCTTTCTTTTTTAGACATTTAGTCATCCAGAAAGCTCTCTATGTAAAATATAGCAAGAAATAATCTTTTTTTAAAATAAGGAATTGATATTTTGATTATTTTCAAGTGCATTCTTTTGTTTATATTAAATGGTGTCGTCCCCGGGAAATAATTAAGCTGCAAAAAATATCGGTATCTCTCATTCCTCGTTACTCGACTACTGAAAAAAGGCGCGTCTTCGAGCTTTCTTCTAACGATAATAACCCAGATAGCAAAGAGAATTCCAAAAGAATTCGATATGAATTCGCAGTATCCAAAATGAATTCCTCAATGAATCCCATTTCTGTCCGAAATGAATTCCTAAGTGATTCTTTAAGAATTCGAAGTTATGTCAGCATTTGCGAATTCTTTTGTAAATTCCAAATGAGGTCCAAAAAACGGAAAAGTATTCCTTAAAGAGTTCGAAAAGAGTTCAAAAGGATTCGAAAGAGTTCAAATAGAGTTCTAAAATAGTTCAAATAGAGTTCTACAAGAGTTCGGAAGTTTAAAAAGAGTTAGAAAAGAGTTCGAAATGAGTTCTAAAGGGACTGCAAAGGCTCGATAAGAACTCTTGCGCTGTTCAGGGCTATTTTGAAAAGAGTTCTGTGAGAGTCCTTGCTCTAATCCATAAAAGAATCGCATTGAGCCCGTTTAGCACATGCTAACAGTTGCAAGTTGTTTAATGTTTCTAGTGGTTTACTTTTCCGATTGGGCTACAAAAATGGTCTTAACGAACCACATCGAAAAACTGAACCACTAGAAACACTGAACAGCTTTGCAACTGTTGGCACCTGATGAACGCGCCCATCGCTATTCCTCGATCTCTGTACGAAATAGAAATGTAAGTTAAAGTGTATTATAAGCTTCATATGCTTCAACGTCAGATGTATTGTTATATATAGTTATATCAGAAGTTAAACATTATTAATATTTTAATACAGTATTTTCTATCATAATACATTTTACCTTACAGTTAAGTTCCGTATTTCCGTTTTCTTTATTGTATACTTTGAAGGCGTAAAGGAGTAACTTTTCGCGGGCTTCTATAATATATTGAATCACCATGGACAATATCCCCTGAAACGTAACTCCTCGCGTCCTGAATATACATAATTAAAAAATTTCGCATTTTTTAATAATCAGTTTTTATTATTTCATATATTCAAAAGTTATATATAGTTATATAGAAAAGTTATATAAAAACGACGAATTTATATAAATAAGTTATGAGTATACAAAATTTGTACAAACTTATACAAAGTATACAAAACTTATTATTTATTGAACTTATTATAAAAACAGTTATATAATATATGAACTATAATATATATAAACTTATTATGAATTTACTTATAGTGTACAACTGTACAACTTATAAAAACTAGTAAAACTTATAGAAACTTTAGTTATAGAAACTTATCGCAATTAGTTATCGCATCCTGTCCGTTGCATGTTGCAACCACGATTTAATAATTTCTTTGATGCTCGTTCTGGTCGCATCTGTTTGCTTGGAAATAGTTTCTGCAACAAAAAAAAGTGCTTCATAAGACACGTTTATATAAGCAGGTTTTGAATTATATTTTGATTTTCAAGAAACTCACTGATAATCAATTGACAAATTACAGTTGAACTGAACTTCAGTGTTTTACGCTGCCCAGACCAGGAATAAATTTTCGCCAGTGAATCAGTCATGACATGATTAACTGATTTAAACTGATGGAAACAACAGAACCTGTAAGAAAGAGACATAATAATTAATATCACAATATTCTATAAATGCACAATTAAAAATGAAATGTTATTCGATTTTTATTATATCCTTTTAAATTAAATTAAATTTCAGTATTATTTATTTCATTTCTTACATATTAATAATATTGAATTTATTATTAAATGTTATTTAATTTTATTAAACTTTATTTTTTTTACAAGTTTATATTTATTACAAACATTTTTAGGCATGCAATACGCAAATAATCAAAGATATTAAAAAAAACAGGATTACAAGAAATTTGAAAATGTCCTTACCATGTAGCAGGTTGTAACACGTTGAGGTCCGATTAGCTAATGGAACTGGTGAAAACTATCAGAGCCTGTAAGAAAGAGACAGAAAGAAAGATAATAATTAAAAGACAGATACAGAGAAACAAAGGCTGCGTTTGATTTGGCTGTTTACATGCTGTAAGCCATGGAGGTAAGAATAAGAGGAGGGAGCGTAAACCAAGCTTTTAGGCGAGAGGTATGAATAAGCCAGAGAAGTGAGAGGAAATCATAAGCGGCCGTCTTGGTAGTACATAACTTATCCTTCTTTTTCTTAATTTGGTAGAAGAAGAATTAAGTTATGTATTATCAAGATGGCCAGAATACGATTTCCTCTCACGTCTCCGGCTTCATACTCCGCAGTTTACGCTCCCTCCTGTTATTCTTACCTCCATGCTGTAAGCTTTATTCTATCTTCCTTCTGCATATAGTGAGCGATAAAGATATAATGAAGCTTACACCGCGTGAGCGCCCAAAACGAACGCAGCCAAAGAGAAAGACAGGTAATGAAAAAGAAAGAAAGAAAAGCACAAAGAGAAAAAAGACAAAGACAAACAGATAAAGAGGCAGGTAGAGAAAAAAGAAACAGAGAAGAGGCAGACAAAAAAAACAGAGAAAGCTTCCTAAGGGCCAATTTCTTCATCGTTGGATAACTTTATCCTTCGGTTAACCTCACTCTTCATCTCTTTCTAACTGCCTCCTTAGAAAAAGATGAAGAGTGAGGTTAACCGAAGGATAAAGTTATCCGACGGTGAAGAAATTGGCCATAAGAAGCAGTGTTCGTGTATGTATGTACACTGATGGCACACTAAAGGCCAGCGGCGGCAAACTAGTGGCGGCCGATTGTGATGCAATCGACAAAAATAATCGGAACGAAACACGTTCGATGTTGGATCCGAACGCGTTCGCATCCAACGTCGAATGTGGTTGTTAGCACTAAATAGCGTCCGAACACACAGTCCACGGAACACACGGAATATACGCACCTTGATCTCGATCGTTCGAAGTACGGAATTAGCGCTGCCCGTCACTGCCCGTGCACCGTCGCCTAGTGCTGCTTCACAATCCGTTGCCATGGTAACGACAAACAGGCACACTGCACATGCGCAGATTCTAACAACGCTTCGCGAAAACAACAATTCGAAAAGAATTCTTTACGGCTACGATAAAACATTTCTTGAAGAATTCTGTATCGATATTTCTTTTGAAGTCTTACAGAACATATATTTTTCGATCATTTTAATCTTGAGAAACAAATTCTTATGAAGTTCTTTTTGAACAGACATCCTGAAGTCTACAAGAATTCAAACACGCGAATTCTTATAGAATTAAATTCGATTACTTGAATTCTTATGAAGTTCTTTTTGCACAGACATCCTGAAGTCTACAAGA